ACAACAGAATTTAGGAGAATCACTTCTCACTTGACTTGGAATGAAGAAGCAAGGATGAACTCAGCAAAGAAGAACGCCCTACAACACTTCAAACGCTTATAGAGAAAGCTGTCAGACTTGATGATAGGCTTTTTGAAAGAAGAAAGGAGAAGAACTAAGACTGGCATCCAACAAGAAATTTCAACAATTACACCTCTACACCAACTGCTAAGGACTCAGCACCTGAACCTATGGACTTAGACGCCTCTATAAAGAGATCTACAGCAAATCCAGCACCTCAGCCTACAGGATACCCTCAAAAACTGAAAAGGGGTAAACTTACCCCTCAAGAAAGAAAACACAGAATGGACAACAACCTTTGTTTATACTGTGGCAAAGGGGGACACAGAATTCAGGAGTGCTATTCAGCATGAGGGAGTGCTGATTCAAAACATATAGCAGCCTCAGACACAGTCACAACTGCTATTCCTGAAAAACTTGAAAAATCCCTAGCAGGCACAACTTCAACTGAGACTATAACTTCTCCCCTAGACAACAAAGATGTGTCGATGGTGCTTTCTCAGAGTTTCACACACCTGTTAATCCCTATTCAACTCCATTTCAAACAACAGGTGTTATCTACAAGGGCTATGATAGACTCAGGGGCAACAGGCAACTTTATATCTCAAGACCTCATCTTGACACACCAGTTACCTACAATTCCCAAACGCACTCCAGAGTTGCTCCGAGTCATTGATGGAACTCCTATCAGTTCAGGTTCCATTACCTGCAACACCCCAGTACTCAAACTTGAGATTCCCCTAGGAAAATCAACATTTTCAGACACCATCTCTTTAGATGTTATACCAATGAAGTACCCAGTCATCCTAGGTCTTCCATGGCTTTAAAGGCATGATCCAACTATCAATTGGAAGCATTTATCGCTTGGGTTTAGCTCAAATCCTGAGCTCAATACTGAAAAAACCCTTCAAGCCTCAGTTACCCCTATTCAGGTCCAAGACTCAGACTTGTCCCAGATCAAGGATTTTGACCAAACTATGGACGATATATCATCTCTGATATGGGTTAAACCTTTCCAACCTGTCCTGAAGATAGCAGCTACTTCAGATTTGGAGAAATCATCTCAGGAGGTCATTTTGCCTTTAGCATACCAAGACTACTAACATCTTTTTGACAAGGCAAAGGCATCAATTCTGCCAAAGCACCAGCCTTATGACCATGAGATACCACTCGCAGAAGGCTCAATGCCTCCCTATGGCCCTATCTACTCTCTATCTGAATTAGAGCTGAAAACTCTCAGAGAATACCTAGATGAGAACCTTAGTTCTGGCTTTATCAGACCTTCTTCCTCACCAGCAGAAGCTCCTATTCTCTTTGTCAAGAAGAAAGATGGCTCCTTGCGTCTCTGTGTTGATTATAGGGGCCTTAATGCAGTCACTGTTAAAAACAGATATGCTTTACCCCTTATCCCTGAGCTCATGGATAGGCTCTCTTCAGCAAAGATCTTTACCAAGTTAGATCTCAGGGGAGCTTATAACCTGATACGCATCAAGGAAGATGATGAGTGGAAGACAGCATTCAGAACACGCTATGGTCATTTTGAATACCAGGTAATGCCTTTTGGGCTTGCCAATGCACCTGCTTCTTTCCAAGCTCTCATGAATGATATTCTAAGACCTTACTTGGATATCTTTGTTGTTGTCTACTTAGACGACATTCTTATATACTCTTTAGACACTCAAGAGCATGTTCTACATGTTAGACAAGTCTTAGAGAAGCTATCTCAAGCACAACTCTTTTGCAAACTTGAGAAATGTCTTTTCCATATGTCTCAAGTTGATTTCTTGGGACATAGAATTTCAACAGAAGGCATTCAGATGGATCCTGAAAAGACAAAAGCAGTACAAACGTGGCCTATTCCTTCCAGCATTAAAGAGGTTCAGTCTTTCCTTGGGTTTGCCAACTATTACAGGAGGTTTATACCAAGATATACATCCTTGGCTTTACCCCTTACTCAATTACTTCACAAGGACTTAGGGTTAAGGGTTAGGGTGTCCGTATACTAGAACTCGCGTAGCGGAGTTGTCGGCGACGCTATTCTGGGTGTGTCTGGGTTATTTTGGCGCCAAGCGAAGGCTTTTTTAATGTTATGGGCCTTCCGAGCGTTCTGGCGAGAAAATCCTAAGTAGTGAAGAAACAACCAGCGACTGCCGGGTGTGACAGCGCAACCTTTTACAGTAGAACAGGATTTAGAGATGTTCTTTAGCGACTGGCGATGGAGAAGAGAGGTTCCTTGCTTCTGATACCGATATATTTCGTCTGTACCTTCGTGCTAAGGCTACTACCCGCGGGCCGAGAACCATCCAGTGCCAACAGCGCTCGGGAATTGGCTGTATCCGACCCTCCAAGTACCGAAAGGCGTTCTCCAGCTTGTTCATGGTAGAGTACTCTGGATGGCCATGCGCATGCGCCGGCTGCCTTTCAAATGGCCATACAGATACTCCATGTATTGAATATCATATGCACTGTAACGCTGTTACTGTGCTGTGCCGAATCTATTCCGTGATGGTACCGCAGCGGTTGGATGAACAAAGCCTGTCGGTCTGTGCACACGACTGGCTGGAGCCACCCTGCATGCTCGCCGCCATCATCTTGCTCGCCATATCTCTTCCACATCCCACAAGTCGAAGGCGTATCTATGGCTACCAATGGTTTCCACAAGTGGAAACTCATCGCGCCGGCAATGCTCGGCATTTGTGCCGTATACAGTAGGTATAGGGCTGATCGCTCAAACAGGAGCTTCATGGGGCAGAGAGCGAATCACTGGCAGAACGTCGAAACTCATTATGACATGCACATATATTTTGCCTACCTTGCTCTCTCTGCTATACATACCTACCTACCAATGAACAGCCTCGGCCCCGGGTGCCGTCCAGAACAACAGTCTTCCCTCCGCGTGATGGATAAAGCTAGAAGGTCGTTAATTACCTACCAATGAAACAAGATCGACATCACATGCCCGAAACAGCCCATGAGATTCTATGGATATTCAGCATGACTGGCCACGTTAATCTTCATAATATCTATAACTAAACCTTACATTCTTCCACCCAGGTCTTCCTTTGCGTCGGCTCTGTCCCAGGAGTCCTTCTCCATCTGCCTGACGTCTTGCAATATCTGGAGCACTCTCCTTGTGTTCTTCTCACGCGCCTCTTCCTGCTCTCGGTAGATCTTCTCAAACCCGTCCAACATGAACGGCCGGAGAGCGATCTTCTTACCCACGCGGTAATCGTACACCACGATATCCTCCAGGCATCTTGCCGCCGGCCTCTGTTCTCGTTCCGACAATATCATGGCATCCAGGACAAACGACGACTCGCCGGCCGTTGGCATCTTGCGAAGTTTGTGAAAGACGGACACCTTATCAGGCCATGCCATGGGCTATCCTTTGTATGAGCTACTTCGAAAGAACCCGCTCGATAAGAGGGGGGGTGGCACGTACGAATTTGTAGTCTGTCTTGATACTTTTCAGAATCATCCCATCTCCTAGCGGCGTGCACATCTCCATCCATTCCTGCTTATGCCCCGGATCTAAGTGCATGGCGATATTGCACGCCCAGTTTATCCTCGCAGTCTCTGCGTATCGTATATATATGACGTTATTCACATGGCCCTGTATCGGAATCACGTCAGCACCAATTCGTCGCCGTAGGTGGGCAGACTGACCATGCTATCCAACTCACCCCAGGAAACCCTGTGTCCGAGCAGGCCAGCTCTCTTCTCGTCCGTCAAGAACCCTTCACTTCCTGCAAGGAGCTCCTTCCAGTCCTGTCCCAGTATTTTGCATATCTTAGCCGCTTGCTGCACCTGCTCCGCATTCATACCAAATGTCAAGCATTTGCCGATTCGTAGCTTTGTATCGGAGAGCCACTTTGGAGACAGCGCAGGCAGTCCAGCGCTCTTCGAATGCGCAGCTGCATCGCTACTGGAAGGCCGACTCGAAACTCTAGCAGTGGAAGCTATTGAGCGCGAAACCCTGGCTTGGGAGACGCATTGAAGTGATCGTGTTCGTCCGGTGAGGACGCTGGCTCCTATCATGGCAGCGCTTCAGACGGGCGCATCTAAATATAGAGAAAACCTATGGAGAATAGGTAATAACTGCTGTATATTATATTGATCTGGCCCAATGCCCCTGAGATGCCGAGATACTCGTCGGGGGTAACGGTCACCGTCGCTCCAACCCCACGTAGAGAGACGCACGCACGGACCAAGGTACGAGGCCATGACGTGACGCTACGGCTTACCCGAGCTACTCGATCCACTATACCCGACAACTTCTGAAGCTCTTTACTGTGCAATACCGTACAATCGAGCCACTGACTTGTCCGACAACTTCTAGATATTCAGAGAAGATACTTCATTTGCTCCGGCTGAGCTAGTTGATATGGCCGCCGTGAAAGATGGACTGAGGAGAGAGGTGATTGCGGTGTATAAGGGTATGACGCCGTGGTTTTCTACATGGCATATGTGGGCTATGCTAAATTGCCATACAGAGCTTTTAAATCTAGGAAAGGACTATCCCCTTGGCTACAGCTACTTTAGGCCCAGACTGCACAAGGCATTCTCTAGTCAGTCTGGGTTGACGGATGAGGCAGAGATTCGAAAAGGAATTGACAGGGCATATTTTGTGAAGAAAGGTATGATCCGATTTAATGTTTGCTTTTCAAGAACAAGACTAATCTGCGCCGCAGAGATCGAAGCATTGTACGTCCATACACCACCCTATACCTGGGTAAAAAAACATTGCTAAATATATATATGCAGATACTCTCTGAAGAAGTACAGATCACTGCGTCAAAGCTATTATAAGCCGTGAAAGGGCCATGGGGGGATGGCACTAAAATATGGGTTTATCAGTTGCTCAACCTCAAAACATGAAAAGCCACGCTCATGCCCATGGTCGTTTGCGCCGTATGAAATGACAGGCGCACAATCAAGACTCACAGCAGCTCCATGTGAGGTATCTTCCACTCATTCCCAGGATGTGGATCTGGCGGGTACGGCATGGGCTTGTCTGGCTTCTCATCGGAGGGCTTTGACTTCGTCTTCGGCGAGTCCCTCTTCGTCGCCCACCAGGCACCGACCTCCAAACACTCGCCCCACGACGTTCCGTTTTGGACGAGAAGGTCATTCATCATGTCGCCATACCAGCGATCCCATTCGTCTTGACTCTTCCCGCTCGCTTCTCGTAAGAATGGCTCCAGGCTCTCCATGTATTGGACCAATGTTAGGAGAGCTGTGTGTCGAAGGGCTGTTTGGCCAGTTGTGAGGACCTTCTTGCCTGAATCCGCCTCCTTTCCTTTGGGGGAACCCTCAGTGCCAGCGCGCTCCCATCGGACCTCACCGAGAGGAATAGCTAGTCTGCGGGACTCAATGTCCGCCAACTCTGGTTCCTGGAGAAGCAGCGATGCCATGATCGTGCATGGTATTGCCGAGAGCCCTCTGGCGTCGAAGGCCTTTGTAAGCCAAGTGTTGTATTCGGTCAGATATGGATTTTGCGCTTCCGTAAATGGCGTCTGAGCCGTCAATATATATGTACCAGTTCCCTCCGCTTGTGCCGTGTCCTCGTCTTCGCTGTCGCTGTCCTGGGATGCATGCGTTGGGTTATGTGATAGTACCATGCGAATCGTGTGGTCCCCATCCCACACCTCGATTGCGCCACCAGGGCGTAGTATCCGCAGGTATTCGTCCATGAGATCCGCCGTCATGCTCAGTTGCGAGGAGATCATGCTTAGATCCTTCACCATGACAAGGTCAAACTCTTCATCCTGGAATGGAGTCGGTAATATTCGTAAATCGTGTTGGACAAATCGCCATTTCATCCCGCTCGTGCTGTTATCGGCCGATAGAGGGGCAATGTCGATGCCTGTGAAGGAGACGCTGTGGCCTTGTCGGGCAAAATGTTTGTGGCACAACGCACTCCAGTAACCATTCCCACACCCAACCTCCAGAACCTTCTTGGGAGGGGTGTTCCGGAAGTTTGGTGAACAGACCGGCCCGCCAAACACATTTACGAGAAGCATGGTGCGTAGGACCTGGCGGTGCATTTCTGGAAGGTCCACAGGTAGGGGGTACCGCAGAGTTGGATCGGCGAGATATCGCCGGGTGTTACGCATGGTGAAGGGACGTCGAACATAGTCGCCCTTTGCTGGGGCGCCGCCTAGCAGTGACGGAGTATTCGTGCTTGAATTTGTGAGGCTGGTACTCGATAAACTCTGAGCTCTCCCATGATGTGTCTGCACGCGCTGGGTCGGCTGCAGGCTATACAGATGTCGATCCAGAACTGCGGTTCCAGGGCCAACCACATACGCGGACGCGAACTGAGGGCTGAGCGAAGGCGGTCTTTGTGTCTTGCGAGGTTTGGCTTGAGAATGGGTTTGAAGAGAGGAAGTTTTGGAATCTGTCGAGCTGTTGGTGATGGTGGTGATGGAGTGGAGCTTGTCTAATCGAGGCGACGAGTCCCCCATTCGGTCGGCTGTGCCACTGTTGACAACATGTGTGGAGCGGACTGTGGCGGTTATGAAACACGGGATTTGCTTAGGCGGGATGGTAGATTTTATAGAGATGTTATGGGGGACATATATATGTTAGGAGACGCGATATTTTATGATCCTATAAAAGGATATGTATGGAATATCTAGGGAAATGAAGTAGTTGACAAATCCCTAAGGATTCCGTATTTCCCATGTGTGCGGGGAGAGGTTCTCCCTAACTTACCTTCGCTTCTGGTCACAGCCCAACCTCGCTCGTCCCGTGATTGTGGCGCTATTCCAGATCGCGTGTAAGATCCCCGATAGAGTAGATCTCTAGCTTGCAATTGACAGGCCGCCGTCCCATCCACAGTCAACGTCCTCTGAACCTAGAAACCAACAGACCCCCGAGACAAGAGGTTGCCTGCCAGATTGTGTTCACCTGGACTGCAGTATGCTATCTGAGTACGGTGCGTTTGGAATCCCTTGATATCAGTGGGGCTCACGTTGGGGAGCCTTGGTGGAAGCTTATATCTCCCGGTGTATGCGCGCGCCGTCGAACCTTGCTGACCCCCACGTGTAGCATGACGCACGATTGACCTCAACCAACGTCCAATCTCAGGCATCAGATACTCGCATATCACCTACGTGAACAGACCTATCTAAGACGGTCTACCGACATCTCTCTGCATTATCGCAACTGCCATACGAATACCTATGTGCCTGGAAAGAAGAACACGACGCACCCGACCACCCATATCAAAAGCACGCTGAGTGCTGCCCGCGACAATCACCTAGACTGCGGCGTATTTAGATGGCCGATGGTTACAGGTTTCCGCAGGCGAGCGCAGGAAGCTACTATCCCCATACACAACATCAGCTTGCGAGGCACACGCGAAACCCATCTCCGCCGAACAGAGCCACATTCATATCAGACGACCAATCCCCACCATCGCCCACACAGTCCTCAGCGGAACGGCTGTACAGCATGTTTAACCAGGGCCACCAGCCAGGCCAGCATGGCCGGCCGACCACGGCCAACCGTCTACCCATAATGTACAACTTCCAACACCAGACTTCCCACCAACAAACCCATACACAACACCACCAAGATCATACGCACACGAATGGAAATGTGGCCCACCATACTACCTATTCATCGGGTGTCCTATCCAACTCTACACCAAACTTTACGCCAGCTACCCAGACTGGCCACGTCACGCCCCAAAGAGGCGCGCAGACACAAATAACCGAACATTGGGCGGAGCAATTGAAGGTATACAAGGAGACTGAGCGGGCACATAACATAATGCTCGACCAGCATGCGCCGAACTACTATGCGAGGACAAAGGGGCACGAGAATCGGAGCATACCTGCCGAACCCGCAGCAAATGAGGATACCGAGGACAGAGGCCGGCCGTCAAACCAGGATGGCCCCATCAGGAGGCAAGATTGGCACAATATGGACATCAGCGGCCAAGGCCTAAAAGTGCTGACCCCTCCACTGTTTGCGTATACCTTTTTAAATGAGCTTTATATTGGGTCAAACAAGATCACGCACATCCCGGCCTCAATTGGAAAACTACGCCAGCTCAGGTACCTGGACGCGTCCAATAACCAATTGTCAGATTTGCCGCCAGAACTTGGCATGTGCGTTTACCTGAAGCACCTTCTCCTCTTTGACAACGATCTCAGGACGCTACCAAACGAGCTCGGTTCGCTGTATCATCTGGAGATGCTGGGAATAGAGGGGAATCCCCTGGACATTGGCTTGAAGCGAGAGATTATGGAAAATGGCACGAAGGCTCTGGTCCTCCACCTGAGAGAGACTGCACCTGGTGAGTTGTTTTGCAATGCTGTGTTGGGTTGTGCTAATTAACTCAGTTCCCATGCCCCCACCCCCACGGGTGATGCTAGAGCTCCAAGAAGCATTGGAGTCTGAAGAGCATATCAAGGTATTCTCGTACAATACGCTCTGCTTCAAGATGGCTACAGAGCAAATGTACGGCTATACTCCGTCGGAAGCCTTGAGCTGGGATTACCGCAAGGAGCAGATCCTACAAGAAGTCCAAGCATCAGACGCCGACTTCATAACTCTCCAGGAAGTTGATAATGACAGCTTCAAGGAGTTCTTCAGCATGAAGCTGGCGTACAACGGCTACAAGGGCGTATTCTGGCCGAAGTCGAGAGCGAGGACGATGTCGGAGAAGGACGCCAAGGTGGTTGATGGATGCGCCACCTTTTACAAAGGCAACAAGTGGATCCTGCTCGACAAGCAGCTCATCGATTTTGCCAACATCGCAATCAACCGGCCTGATATGAAGAACCAGCATGACATTTTCAACCGTGTCATGCCAAGAGACAACATCTCGGTTGTCACATTCTTCGAAAACAGACTCACCGGGGCGCGCGTGGTTGTTGTCAACGTGCACATCTACTGGGACTTGGCCTTTTCCGACGTCAAGATCATCCAAACGGCGATTCTCATGGAGTACGTGACAAAGCTGGCCGATAAATATGCCAGATGGCCAGCCTGCAAGGACAAGAAGGCATATGGCATGGACAACGATGACCAAGGCGAGCCAGCACCGTCGATGGAATACACCAACACCCAGCTGCCGCTGCTCGTCTGCGGCGACTTCAACTCCACGCCAGAGTCGGCCGTCTACGAACTGCTCGCGCACGGCTCCCTTGAGCCAAACCACAGGGAAATGGGCGATTACCAGTACGGAAACTTTACACGTGATGGTATGCAGCATCCGTTCTCCCTGCGCTCGGCGTATGCAAACCTGGACGGCACGCCCGAAGCGCTCGCGTTCACGAACTACACACCGGGATATACTGGAATCCTGGACTACATCTGGTACTCGACGAATGCGCTGGAAGTTACTAGCCTCCTGGGGCCAGTCGACCCCGAGTATCTGAAGCGGCTGCCCGGTTTCCCAAACTACCACTTCCCGAGCGACCACTTGAGCTTGTTGGCTGAGTTTACATTGAAGAAACAGGGCAAAGACAGGAAGGGGGATAGGTAGGCGTCAGGGGTGTGGTGTGCGCGGTGGGTATCATATTCAGGAACTAAGTTTGGTGGTGTTTGGTGGACGTTTTTGCGGTCAGTCGATGTAGAATTAACGTATAAGCCTCGAAGATGATGATGTGAGTTATGTGTACGCGTACTGTAATGATTTTATGGCGATGCGATTCTGGAACATTCCTGTGTTTACTATACGACTCCTTTGGAGAGAGAGAGACTCTACGTGGCATGATAATCTCTTAAGAACTTGGCAAGTTTCAATTGAGGCACGTGCAAAAAGGGTGGCTTTGGCGACTATTCCGCATCTGGCGCAATATGCTGCTGCCCACGTGCAAATCTCCCAAATCTGCTTTGGGGAAGAAGTAAGTCGGCGAGTGGCGAGTCGGCGATGAAATTAACACTCTCGGATGGCCGTTCTTCCGAAACCCTCCATGCAAACTAGGTACAAGTATACGAGATACGAGGGTTACAAGCGGCAGCCTACGAAAATAGTAGAAGCTTGGCTGACATTTTATGTGGATATTGGATATTGGACATTGCACGCTCGGTTACTGAACGAAGGAGGGTGGTGGTGAGTTGTAATTTGCGTAGATATGTCGCTAGCAGCGTTGTCGAAGTGCTAGAGTATAAGTGAAAAGGCTGAGACGCCCAGCTCAGAAACAGCCACCATCTTGGACGGAAGACCACCAAACTCCGGGTTGGCATTCTAATATTACCCTGCGCTATTCAGCGCTGTCTGCCTTGATAGTGAAGTGAAGTGCTCAACGGCCTACGCGTCAACCCTTCAAAATGGGATCGTGCCAGGAGCTGGAGACACATGACGCTGGTCTGCCTTCCGCGGTTGAAAAGGGCACACCGGCGGTCACGCCAGCTGTTGCGCCTGGTGCGCCAGCTGGAGGTCAAGATGCCGTCATTCAGGCAACCGAGCCGGAGGTTGAAAGCGCGTTAAAGAATGAGAAGGACGACGAGCATACCAATGCCTCGTTTTCTCATTTCATTGTAGGTTCCACGTCAGCCCCGATTATCTCATCACTGACAAACTGTGTAGGCTCCAGCAACGAGGAAGACAAAGTCCCAAGAGAATATCGTGGGGGCCGGAATCGTAAGTTCAGATGGTACACCTTCTGCAGTGAAGATATGTGGCTAATAATCAGACCTTGCCGTTGATGAATATTGTCTTTGGGAATCTGATTGGCGACTTCAGTAACGCGGCAGGCATGAATAGTGCTACCATGAGCAAAGTGTCGGCTGGGGCGATCAACAAGAATGCGTAAGTTCTTAACGCTGGATCACAAGGTTGCCTACTGCTAACGGCTCTTAGATTGTACATTGTCTATCTCTTCATAGGGAAATTTGTGCTCGTTTATATTTCCATGGTTGCTATGCCTTGCCCTCCCCTTTGAGTTGCATTCTGATACTTTTCAGTTTAGTTTTAGATTCGTCGGGACGCGGCTCTCAGCTGCCATCAGGCTGGACTATCTCCGCACCTTGTTCAAGCAGTCAATATCGGAACTGGATAAGTTGCCAGCAGGATCGGCTGCCCAAACGATTACTGGTGGCGCCAATACCCTCCAGATCGGAATCACGGACAAGCTTGGGACCCTCTTGCAATTCTCCGCAATGATTCTGAGCGCCTTCATCGTCGCATTCAAGCATTCGTGGCAACTGACTTTGGTGACAAGTTCCGTTTTGCTTGGTATTATTGTCTTATTTGGCTTCGTCATCCCCGTGTGGCTAAAGTCTCAGAAAGCAGTCGACTACGCAAACGGCAAGGCTACGTCTATTGCTAGCGAAGCCATCGGAGCGGTTCGAATGATTGTTGCCTGTGGTGCTGAGGAGCGCGTTGCAAAAAAACACGGCTACTGGGTCGGCGAAGCAAGGAAACGGGGACTGAGGCAGTCGCCTCTCCTTGGTGCCCAACTTGGTCCAACCTTTCTCTGCGTCTTTGCCGACTACGCCCTGACGTTTTGGTATGGTGTGAAGTTGTATAACGATGGGCACATAGATAGTGTGGGCACAATCCTAATGTGAGTATTCTGGATACTCGTGGAACATATAACTGACTATCGCAGTGTCCTTATGAGTGTCTTGATATCTGTCATGTCACTTGGAAGCGTCATTGCACCGTTGAATGCTGCCACGAAGTCGGCTGCGGCGGCCGCAGATTTTTTTGCGATCATCGACAAGCCAACACTGTGGCGGGATGGACTGAGCGATCCGGATTTCTTGACCCCTGATGACATCAAGTTTGAAAATGTAACATTCGCATATCCGACACGGCCGCATGTCAAGGTTCTTGACGACTTTAATGCCGTATTTGAAAAGAGCAAGCTCACAGCCATTGTGGGGCCATCTGGATCTGGGAAATCAACCATCGTTGGCCTCATTGAGAGATGGTATAATCTCACGCCAGAAGTGGGAGCCAAGGAATCTGAAAAATCCGAAAATGTTCAGCTTGGCGGAGCCATCAAGATGGCCAACCATACCCTAGACGATATAAACTTGAAGTACTGGAGATCTCAGATTGGCCTTGTTCAACAGGAGCCGTTTATCTTCAATGATTCAATATTTGCCAACGTCGCATACGGGTTGGTCGGTACCGAGTGGGAAGACGCAGAGGAATCGATCAAAAGAGATCGAGTAAAGGAGGCGTGTGAAGAGTCGTTTGCCGACGAGTATATTACCAGGCTACCTCTTGTAAGATCTTTGTTATTACATGTCGACTTTCGCTAACATAATCAGGGCTATGACACACAGGTTGGCGAGAGTGGGATGAAGCTCAGTGGTGGCCAACGGCAACGACTTGCCATCGCGCGAGCAATCGTGAAACGCCCCCAGATCTTGATCTTTGACGAGGCCACCAGTTCCATCGATGTTCGCGGAGAGCGAATTGTCCAGGCTGCGCTTGACAGAGTAGCTAAAGACCGAACTACGATTACAATTGCCCATCGAATTTCAACCATCAAAAAGGCCGACAAGATCATAGTTGTTGCGAAAGGAAAGGTGGTCGAGCAAGGCTCACACGAAGAACTTGTCAAGGATGAGGACGGTGTATACCATAACCTCGTACACGCACAGCAGATCATAATGGGCAGCACCAAGGAGTGGGGGATTGAAGAAGATTCTACCGCCTCTCTAGAGGCAACAGAGGTGTCGGAAAAGATTGCCGTCGAAACAAAGGTCGATACTTATGTGCGGAAAGATGTCTTTCGGAGTTTTGGGGTGTTGCTTTTCGAAAACAGAAGACATTTGCCTTGGTTGTTTCTGACGATACTGGGGTCACTGGGTGGAGGAGGTAAGAAATCGCACCTTGGCGTATGGAGCTGACCTTTGTAGCCGCCGTTCCCGTCACGGCATTCCTCATGGCGAACGTTATTTCAGTCTTTAGCGATTACCGGCCCGACGACGCCCAGGGAATGTCAAGTGCTAGTCAGACGTGGGCATTGGCGTTTGTTTACCTTGCGATAGGTGTTGGGGTATCGTACTTCGTTATGGGCTGGTGTGCCAATTCCCTATCTGTGCATGTTGCAAATACATATCGCCAGCAATACTTTGAGGGCGTTGTGCACAAGCCGATCAAGTTTTTTGATCAAGAGGATAATTCGACAGGAACTCTCGTGGCTCGACTGTCTTCTGACCCAACCCAGCTGCAAGAATTAATGGGCACGAACATGGGCTTTGTTTATATCGCTATATCCTCCCTGACGGCCTGTGTCATATTATCCTTGGCCATCGGATGGAAACTGGCTCTTGTGTCGCTGGTTGCTGCACTCCCACTAACCTTCACTGACGGCTTCTACCGTGTCAGGTATGAGATCCAATTCGAGACGTTGAACGCTGATGTCTTTGCGGAGAGTTCGAAGTTCGCCTCGGAGGCATTCGGAGCCGTCAGAACCGTGGCAAGCCTTACCCTCGAAGACAAAATATGCCAGCGTTATGAAGACCTGCTAGATCACCACCTCTACCAGAGCAGAATGAAGTCCCGATACAGCACTCTAGTATTCGCTCTGAGCGATAGTATAAATATGCTCTGCATGGCGTTAACCTTTTGGTATGGAGGACGACTACAAGTGAGCGGGGAGTATGACATTAAACAGCTCATTATCATTTATACAGCTGTTATCCAGGGTGCCGAGGCGGCCGGACAATGGATGAGTTTTGGCCCAAATGTAGCACAGGCGACCGCTGCTGCCAATCGAATTCTCAAGCTGAGAGATGCCAGAACTGGCGACTCTGGGAAATCCTTCGAGGCAGAGGGGTGGAGTCGAGATCCAGTTCAAGGATGTGCAATACACATACCCGACAAGAGACTTGCCGATATTCGAAAGTCTCAACCTGACCATCAAGAAGGGCCAATTTGCGGCACTGGTGGGGCCATCAGGGTGTGGAAAGAGCACGATTATCTCGCTGCTAGAACAGTTTTATCAAGTCCAAGGAGGAACCATATTGATCGATGGGCAGGACGTGACGGAGCTGAATGTCAAGGAGTACCGCAAAATAATGTCCCTTGTTGCGCAGGAGGCAACTCTCTTCCAGGGGACCATTAAAGAGAATATCCGTCTCGGGGTGGACGATGCAACAGACGAAGAGGTTTTCAAAGCTTGCCGCGAGGCCGAGATCCACGACTTCATCGAGTCGCTTCCTGACGGGTACGGCACTGACATTGGCAGTAAAGGAGTCGCGCTGTCTGGTGGACAGAAGCAGCGCATCTCAATCGCTCGCGCCCTTGTCCGTAATCCCCAGGTCTTGTTGTTGGATGAAGCGACGTCTAGTCTCGACAGCAAGTCCGAGAAGTTGATCCAGGCTGCGTTTGAGAAGGCGGGTAAGGGTAGGACTATGGTCGTCGTCGCGCATCGTCTAGCGACGATTCAGAATGCGGACGTGATCTTTGTGCTTGGGGGTGGTGCCGGTGGCGCAAGAGTACTTGAGAAGGGAAGTCATGCGGAACTGTTGGGCAAGAAGGGTGTGTACTACCAGATGTGTCAGAGCCAGGCCTTGGATAGGTAGGGCGGTGAGTTTGTATTGGATATGGGGGGGGTATGAGACGGACACTGCCACTCAGTAGATGCAAAATCCGTATTTTTCAGTATAGCAGTGTATAAAATTCTATAACGTATTTCACAAGCGAAGCGATCAGTAATTTCCCACCTAAAATTGAGAAATTAATTTACAAGATAATAACTCAACAACAACTTCATAATATATATTTACAAAGAATTCATCTTGCTTGTTGAGTTGAACTATCTATATACAATTGAACATTAACCCGGTGTTAGTTTCCAACCTTGAGGCGAAGAGGGGTTTCCCAGCCTTCTAGAGAGGTGCAGCACGCCCTCGAAGCTGCAACTGCCTGCATTGGCACGCCCTTAATATCATCTACCCTCCCCTGAACCCTTCTTTGATTTCCAGGTCGAGTTCCTTGCAATGAGATATTCGCGACTTTCGATGGATTTGCGGAGTCCCCAAATCCCACCAAGAGGCCAGAACTGGAGCGCCCATGTGCCCCAAGAGCTATTATCTGCCTTCTTCGCGTCGTCGGGATCAACCTTAACCTTGTGCCAGACACTGGGTAGCGACTCGCCATGGTATTTCTTCCGTAGGCCGTCATACCACTTGCGATCGAACATCTTCCAGAACTCGTTCTCCTCGTAGTACGTGTGGGCATAGTGCCACTTCATGCCTCCAAAGTCACAAAGCTTGTGCTCCAGCTCGTGGTTCTTGGCGACAAATTCGTCCCGCTGTGCAGGGCCAAATCCCCAGAGGCCAACATTAAGCATTGGTTTTAATGTTTTGCCATCGGCTTCCATCTCGGGGTTATGGGGGTGGAGCGTTGGAAGGCGAGTTTGCTTTAACGGGCATAGCCACAAGGGCCAGATTTTGAACGAGTCAGCTGTATAGTTTATGAATTGTTCCGCTGTAGAATATGGAAGGGCAAGATCTTGGATGACATAGTTCCTGGATTGTCCGCTAGCGTGAAGAGCTTTGTACAGCATCCTCGTGTGCAGGAAGTCGTCAAGCCACCAGCGAGAGAGCCAGTTGAACGGGAATCGGAAATACTTAAATGCAGACGCGGCAACCCAAAAGCCCCCGCGATCATATCGGAACAGATACTCGGCCAATGGGATATATTCTGTGTATTCTGTGACGCCCTTCGTTTTGTCTTGCACGTGCAAGTAAAACCAAGGATCCTTCGCGTCGCTGAAAGTTTGTACGTGAGCATTAGCTGGGAGTTCGTCTGTCATCGTGCCGGTGACAATCGCGCCGTGGTCCATAGAGAAGAGAATGCCATCCACATAATCAAGTTCTGCATTCTCCGTTTCCTCCCTCACCTTCTTCACAGCTTCGGGGACGGATTTCACTGTGTGGTAAGTTGCCTTGACGTATTTCTTTGCCTGAATGAGCTGTAGCTCAAGCAGAGTTGATATGCCCAGGCTTCCCACTGCACCCGAGGCTCCATGGAAGAGGTCGGCGTTCTCCTTTTCCGAAGCAGTCACAACTTCTCCATTCCCAAGTACGACCTCCACCGAATTAACGGTTTCGTTGAAATATCCATACTTGAAAGAGCTGCTCTCGCCCCCGGTTCCTGCAAAGCCACCTCCAGCAGTAATCCCGGGGAATTCCATGACTACTGGAGGGATTAGACCATGTTTCATTGTAGCTTCGACGAGGCGGTCCATTGGCACGTTTGGTTCGATCAGGGCAGTTCGTGTTTTGGAGTCAACCTTTAGGACCCGGGAGAGAGCGTTGATGTCGACCGTGTTCTGGCGTTGGAACGCCTGGCGGGTGCTGTTTGTTGAGCCATGATTGATTCGGAACGGAGCGCGTTGCTTGAAGTAGCCTTGCACGCTGGCCGCGATCTTCTCGACCGTGAGTTTGTGGTTCTTCATGGGTGGGATATGCAATTGATCGGCTGGGAGGGTATCGCCATGCGCCTGACGCAGAATAAGCAAGCAACAAAGTTCGTCATGGCAGCTCTAGCGGCCCGACGTCGCCCCGATGGTTCCACGTGATGATGGATATCGTTTTTAGGGATTGTTAAACACATAATCGTGGGGGGAAGCGAGTGCGTCCACTCGCTTACGAGAGGAAGCAAGTGCGTCCTCTCAACTTGCATATGTTCACCGCTACTCTTTACCAAAACCTCGAACATTCCTACACATAGTAATTTAACGTGCATGTATAACGAAAGTGCCAAACAAGCGAAAGTGCCAAAATCATGCGGTGACCAACCCCCCCAACTAAATGTTAAATTCCTCCACAACAAAACATGCGCCATAAAAATGATGAAAGCAAATTAGTGCTAGCTATCCAAGCTATGCAAAGCGACCCAAATTTGCGCCTTCGAGTTGCAGCTAGGATCTATTCCGTAGACCACCGCAAGCTACGTCACCGTTTACAAGGCGTACCTTCACGACGCGATATCCAAGCCAACTTACGGAAATTAAGTAACCTAGAGGAATCAGTTCTTGTTGAGTATATACTTGATTTAGCTGCTAAAGGGTTCCCTCCTCAGTTGTCTATTGTTGAAGATATGGCAAATCGACTACTTGCAACACGCGACGCGCCACGCGTCGGGTCACGTTGGGCTTCAAACTTTGTTAAGCGCCATGTAGAGCTCCGGACACGCTTCCAGCGAAAATATGACTACCAGAGGGCTAAGTGCGAAGATCCAGAAGTCATTCGTGGCTGGTTTGAGCTTGTATGGAACACAATTCTAAAGTATGGCATCAACAATGCAGATATCTACAACTTTGATGAGACTGGGTTTATGATGGGCGTCATCTCAAGCGCAATGGTAGTAACGAGCTCAGATGGGCGGGCAAAGGCAAAAAAGGTGCAGCCTGGCAATCGGGAATGGGTTACAGTAATCCAAGGTGTTAGTTCTCAAGGTTGGGCAGTGCCGCCATTTGTCATTGTGGCAGGTAAAAACCACCTTGCATCTTTGTATGAGAATAGCGGATTTCCAGCAGATTGGGTAATCGCTGTTACTGCAAATGGCTGGACTACAAACGAGAGAGGTATGGATTGGATTCAGCATTTTGAGAAGCACACAAAGCCCCGGAGTGTTGGTGGTTATCGCTTGTTAGTCCTTGATGGTCATGAGAGCCACCACTCAGACAATGAGGAGTACTGCAAAGAACACAACATTATTACGCTTTGTATGCCTGCTCACTCTTCCCATATACTCCAACCACTTGATGTTGGCTGTTTTGGCCCATTAAAGAGAGCTTACGGTCGGCAAATTGAAGATATGATGCGGGCTCATATTATTCACATTACTAAGGATGACTTCTTTCCTGCCTTCCATGCTGCATTTAACATTGCAATGACAGAAAGCAATATTCAGGGAGGGTTCCGAGGTGCTGGGCTTCTTCCATTTAGCCCTGAGAGTGTAATATCTACACTTGACCTTAGGTTTAAGACGCCAACACCTCCAACCTCTCGCCCAAACACCGCTCAACCATGGGTTTCTCAGACACCAAATAACCCAACTGAAGCTGTATCACAGTCTACTTTCATTAAAAAACGAATTGCGCATCATCAAAATAGCTCTCCAACCTCAATCTATGCAGCTGTTGACCAGTTTACAAAGGGTGCATCGCAAATAATGCATCAATTAGCATTGTTAAAAGCAGAGAACCAAAACCTGCGACAGGCAAATGAAGTGCTAAGCAAGCGCCGGAGAGCTAAAAAAACACGACTACAGCAAGGAGGATCACTTAGTCAACAGGTAGCACAGGAGCTACAGGACGAGAGGGACGTTGTGCAGCAAGTAGAGCAAGAAATAAGGGCAAGTAGTGGTCGGAAGCCAAGGGAAGAAACCCATGCACGTCGCTGTGGCAAGTGTGGTGAGACTGGACACAATGCGCGCACTTGTCAGATTGTAATAGACAGGTCTGAGGAAGAGGACTCCGAGTAGTTTTAATTAATTTATATTGTTGTGGTGGATTTATCACAATTCTTATGGGGTAGTCGCGATATTTTGGCACTTTTGCTTGTTTGGCACTTTCGTTATACATGCACGTTATGCAAAGCGACCTAAAGTTACCCCTTTAAGTTGCAAGTAGGATCTATTCTGTAGACTACTATAAGCTATGTCACCATTTATAAGGTGTATCTTCACAACATGATATCTAAGTTAACTTATAGAAATTAAGTAACCTAAATTAGTCCTTGTTTAACATATACTCAACCTAGCTGCTAAAGGAATTTCTCCTTAGCTCTATATTGTTAAAGATATAGCAAATTGACTACATCTAAGTGAGGCTTTCACTTATCTAGGGCTTTCGCGGTACATGTACGTTATTGATGCTAACACATGATGCATTAACGTCCTCCACAAGCGAGTGTCGCATACAAGTGAGTGTCGCACGCGACGAACACAACGCGCTCCTTATGTGTACTGCAAGATGCCTCAACAAGTTGATATTCCATCAACTAATCTTGAAGGTAGAATATATATTGCTATCGAAGCTATTAGATTACGCCAATTTAATAGCATTAGGGCAGCTGCAAAGGCCTCAAATGTCTGTCCTAAGCTACTTGAGAGGCGCCTAAAGGGAATACGCCCACGACGCGACATTACACCAAAAACTCAAAAACTCACTTGCTTGGAAGAATCAGTTGTTATTCAACATATCCTCGACCTAGATTCACAGGGGTTTTCGCCTAGGCTTCGTGCTGTTAAAGATATGGACAATCAATTACTCGCATCTCGAGGTGTGGGCAAGGTTGGAGTTAATTGGGCTTCCAACTTTGTTAAACGCCATGTTGAGCTTAAAACAAAGTTTAATCACAAATACGACTATAAGAGAGCTCTATGTGAAGATGCAGAGCTCATAAAAGCATGGTTTACACTTGTACAAAACACTACTGCAAAGTATGGAATTACTGATGCAGACATCTACAACTTTGATGAGACGGGTTTTCAAATGGGCATTATTACAACAGCAATGGTTGTTACAAACTCTGAACGGCAGAATTGACCTAAAGCAATTCAACCTGGAAACAGACAGTGGGCAACAGTAATTCAAGGGATTAACGTGCAAGGATGGTCAATCCCACCATTCATTATTATGAGTGGGAAGAACCATCTCTCAACATGGTATGATGAAGATATACCACAAGATTGGATTCTCGCAGTAAGTGAGAATGGATGGATGACAAATGAACTTGGATTTCAATGGATCCAACATTTTCATTAAAACATCGTACAGTTGGTGCACATCGCCTGTTATTCTAGATGGCCATGAGAGTCACTATTCTCTACCGTTTGAGCAATATTGTAAGGAGAATGGTATAATATTGCTTTATATGCCTCCACACTCATCTCATCTACTTCAACCGCTTGATGTTAGTTGCTTTGGACCACTTAAGAAGGCATATGGACGGCAAGTTGAGAGCTTAATCCGGACTCATATAAACCATGTTACGAAAGTTGAGTTTCTTCCTGCCTTTAAGCAGGCTTTCACAGACGCAATCACAAAGCAGAACATCTGCAGTAGTTTTCGAGCTACAGGGCTAGTTCCATTTTGTCCTGATGTTGTGTTGTCACAACTTGACATTCAACTACGGCCTTTAACACCACCAACCTTTGAGGATGCTTCATGGGAACCTAAAACACCACACAATCTAATAGAGCTAGCAAGTCAAATGTTACGACGGAACAAGAAGGCTGGCCAACTACAGGACAGGAAGGAGGGAGGTCGCATGAGACCGGCCCTGGTACCTGGAGGGGCAGCGGGGAATAGTAGTTCCGAAAGTATCACGTGACGGACTCGCAGGATGATGAGAAGAGTCCTAAGAGTCCAGGACTCCGAGGACTCGAGTGAGTTCCCAGGAGTCCACTAGGCACGTGATGGACTCGCAGGATGATGAGAAGAGTCCTAAGAGTCCAGGACTCCAAGGACTCGAGTGAGTTCCCAAGAGTCCACTAGGCACGACGCCACTATATAAGTAGATAGTATTTCCTTAGATAGGAGCTTCGTGCTCAACTCAATACAGTATTTGTTATATACTAGTAACGTGTTACTTGAAGCCTTTGTGTCTGATCCCCTGCCTCCTCTGATAAGTAAACCTTTACGCAAGAGAACCTCTGTGTCTTCTATCGTTTAGAAGTCAGCGTTACACTTTGAGCACCACTTCTACGAGGTACCGGCTTACACACAAAGCAACATGTCTGTCGTCAGTTCGAAGGGGAAAACCCCCACCACGCCAACTTCGTCTCAGAGGTCTAAGCCTGAGAATGAAGAGATGCCCGATGCACCCACCGTCAACGAACTCAAGGAAACTCTACGCGTCAAGTTGCCCGACACTTACTCCGGCAACCGAAAGGAACTTGAGGTGTTTTTGCTACAGGTCGAACTGTACCAGCACTTCAACGACGAGAAGTTTCCCACCCAGGAGAGCTATGCCCTGTGGACTGCGTCCTACCTTAGGGGGGAAGCCCTGCGATGGATCGAACCATTCCTCAAGGACTATTTCAAATATGAAAGTACCAATGGAAGCATGACAACTACGCAGACTATGTTTGGCAGCTGGAATGGATTCTGTAAGGAAATCCGACGCATGTTCGGAGACATCGATGAGATTAAGACCGCAGAAGACCATCTGTTTGCACTTAAGCAGACTGGCAGCGCCCTCACATACTCCACAGAATTCCAGAGATACGGCAATCAGACAGGATGGGACGCCAGCGCACTCATCAGCCACTACCGACGTGGGCTGAAGAGCCATATACGTATGGAACTTGCCCGTTTGGAACAACAACCAACGGACATGGTAGCGCTAATCGAACATACGGTCCGAATCGACAATCGACTATACGAATTCCAGAAGGAACGTCGGACCTATGACAAGCCCAAGAAAAGTTACCCCTACCGGGGAA